ATGCAGAATATAGTTCCAAAGATCTTCAGGTAAAAACAAGAGGCACAATCCTATAGGCAAAGTTCAAAACAGCAGTGAAACAATTACCCAAGAATCACAATGCAAGAAATCCCAAGCGTGCTGCTTTCCAGCTAAGGTTATTCCATGAAGCTTTCAGGCTAACAAGCTACGTTGAACTGACACTTTCTCTTCGTTTGCAAGCAGCCTAAATGCCTTTCTGACATGAAAACATTTTTTTTGGGAGCCCCCGGTGGCGCAGTGGGTTAAAGCACTGTGCCGGCAGGACTGAAGACCGACAGGTCGCAGGTTCGAATCTGGGGAGAGGCGGATGAGCTCCCTCTATTAGCTCCAGCTCCTCATGTGGGGACATGAGAGAAGCCTCCCACAAGGATGATAAAAACATCAAAAATCATCCAGGCGTCCCCTGGGCAACGTCCTTGCAGACGGCCAATTCTCTCACAACAGGAGCGGTTGCTCCTGACACGACAAAAAAAAAATTGAAAACATTATGCTCTCACCAACATGAAAGCATTGCGATGACCTTTCCCCGAGCTGGCTTCTCGTCTGCTGGCTAGGTGAGAACTCCTCCTGACCCGTGGCTGGACAAAATAATGGAAATTAAGGACATGGATAAACTGACATTTCTACTAAAATCAAGCAATGGAAAAGGAATAAAAATGACAGATTGGACGGTTTTTGAGGACTATATTAACAAGGATGGTAAATAAGAGGATTTTTGCCAAAGACTGAGGAAAAACTTTTTTTTTTATTGGACCATGTAAGAAACCTTTTCTTTATTAGTGGGGTGAAAGGAGGAAGAATGAAAGTCAACCTTTTTTAGTGTATTTTTGTATTTTCCCCCCTCTTTTTTTCTATTTCTCTCTTCCCTTTTCTTTCTCTCTGGCACTGAGTCTATTCAGTATGTGTATTGTGTTGCATTGTGGTTTTATGCTATTTTTTGGTAAAATGAATAAAAATTACTTTTTAAACACTGCTATAATCCTTGTATTGTCGAAGGCTTTCATGGCCGGAATCACTGGGTTGTTGTAGGTTTTTTCGGGCTATATGGCCATGGTCTAGAAGCATTCTCTCCTGACGTTTCGCCTGCATCTAATGCAGGCGAAACGTCTGGAGAGAATGCCTCTAGACCATGGCCATATAGCCCGAAAAAACCTACAACAACCCTGCTATAATCCTGCCATGTCATTGGCTTCTGACCCACCGTCAATGACTTTCTGTGTTCCTTGCAGACTTACTCCGGCTTGTTCTGTGTCACTATCAACCCTTACAAGTGGCTTCCCATCTACGGGGCCCGCGTGGCCAACATGTACAAGGGCAGGAAACGCACGGAGGTGCCCCCTCACCTGTTCTCCATCTCTGACAACGCCTACCATGACATGCTCATGGGTGAGTAGACCTACGCCTCCTCCATTGTCATTGGGAAATGCATATCTATTTGCATGCATGTTTGTGTATGTCTGGGTATCATACTCCTTTTATTTTTCATTCTCAGGTGCACTTTATTTACTTATTTAACTAAAATAAATTAAAGCCCTTGATTAAAAAATAATGTATAATCGCACAAAGGACTACCGTCTCACCCGGCTCATAGGAACCTGCTACAAAACAGGAGCTTTTTTGTTGAGTTCTAGGGCCAGAAAAGCAGATGGCGGAAACAGAAGGACGGCCTGCCTCAGGGGAGCGTGCTCGCTCCATCCATGTTCAACATCTACACAAATGACCAGCCACTGCCAGAAGGGACAGAGAGTTTCATCTATGCTGATGATCGTGCCATCACCGCTCAAGCAGGGAGCTTTGAGATGGTTGAACAGAAGCTCTCCGAAGCTCTAGGTCAGTGGTTCTCAACCTGGGGTCCCCAGATGTTTTTGGCCTACAATTCCCAGAAATCCTAACAGCTGGTAAACTGGCTGGGATTTCTGGGAGTTGTAGGCCAAAAACATCTGGGGACCCAAGGTTGAGAACCACTGCTCTAGGTGCTCTTACTGCCTATTACAGGGAAAACCACCTGATCCCCAACCCATCCAAAACACAGACATGTGCCTTTCGTCTTAAGAACAGACAAGCATCCTGAGCTCTGAGGATTATTACCTGGGAAGGAATCCCACTGGAGCATTGCAGCGCACCCAGATACCTAGGAGTCACTCTGGACTGTGTTCTGACCTACAAGAAGCACTGCCTGAATATCAAGCAAAAAGTGGGTGCTAGAAACAACATCATACAAAAGCTGACTGGCACAACCTGGGGATCACAACCAGACACAGTGAAGACATCTGCCCTTGCGCTATGCTACTCTGCTGCTGAGCATGCATGCCCAGTGTGGAACACATCTCACCACACTAAAACAGTGGATGTGGCTCTTAATGAGACATGTTGCATTATCACGGGGTGTCTGCACCCTACATCACTGGAGAAATTACACTGCTTAGCCGGTATTGCACCACCTGAAATCTGCCGGGAAGTAGCAGCCAATAGTGAAAGGACCAAGGCAGAGACATCTCCAGCTCATCTCTTGTTTGGGTATTAGCTAGCACGTCAACGACTTAAATCAAGACATAGTTTTCTTAGATCTACAGAGACACTCACTGGAACATCTCAGCAAGCGAGAGTCCAAAAGTGGCAGGCCCAAACCCAACACCTCAATTCATGGGTGATACCAGATGAGAGACTCCCCCCTGGGCTCACAGAGGACTGGGCGACTTGGAAGGCACTGAACAGACTGCGCTCTGGCACCACGCGATGCAGAGCCAACCTCAAGAAATGGGGCCACCAAGTGGAGTCCACGACATGTGAGTGTGGAGAAGACCAAACCACAGACCACCTGCTGCAATGCACCCTGAGCCCTGCCACATGCACAATGGAGGACCTTCTTGCGGGAACACCAGAGGCACGCCAAGTGGCCAGATACTGCTCAAAGGACATTTAATCAACTACCAAGCTTGCAGATTTTGTGTTTTTTATCTGTTTGTTTGTTTTGTTCTGTTAGAAATGTAATACAATGTTCTGGATGCCCCTGGCACGATAAATAAATTAAATATGGAGTTAAATTACAAGATGGGAGCAGAGGGAGTCGAGTGATCTTGTGTTGACCTCCTACCTTTTCTCTTCTTCTTCTTCCCAACACAGAACGTGAAAACCAGTCTATGCTGATTACGTAAGTGTTTTCGTTTGTTATCTTACTCATTACCCCTTCTGTAAGACATTTCGGCCAATGTTATGGTTGTGATGCATTTCTCCGTCTCCCCTTCCTCTTGTCTAGCGGAGAATCCGGAGCCGGCAAGACTGAAAACACCAAAAAGGTCATCCAGTACTTTGCGAACATCGGCAGCACGGGCAAAGCCTCTACCGATGGGAAGGTAAGGCGGATCGTGGACTGGGTGGAATGGGAATCAACTAAAACTGGGATCCCCAGAAGAGATAAGACTCATGTGTCGTCAAAGGCTTTCATGGCCGGAATCACTGGGTTGAGGTGAGTTTTCTGGGATGTCTGGCCATGCTCTAGCAGCATTCTCTCCTGACGTTTCACCTGCATCTGTAGCTGGCATCTTCAGAGATCTGTTAAAGGTGAGGCAAGTAGGGTGTGTGTCTATAGATCTGTGGACATATATCCCTGGGAGAAATAACCCTTGTCTGTTTGAAGTGTGAGTGTTGCAGTTAGCAAGCTTGAATAGCACTGAGCAGCCATGAAGCTGCAAAGTCAATCAGTGAGGGTATCTACATAGAGGTAGCAAGTGGAGAGCATATATACCTGTGGAGAAAGAACCCTTGTCTGATTGAGGCAAGTGTGAATGTTGCAATTTGCAAACTTGAGTAGTATTGAGCGGCCATGAAGCTGCAAAGTAAATCAGTGAGGGTATCTACATAGAGGTAGCAAGTGGAGTGCATATATACCTGTGAAATAATGTCCAAAGTGGGAGGAAGAGCCCTTGTCTGTTTGAAACAAGTGTGGATGTTGCAGTTAGCAAACTTGAATAGCACTGAATAGCTATGAAGCTGCAAAGTCAATCAGTGAGGGTATCTACATAGAGGTAGCAAGCGGAGAGCATATATACCTGTGAAGAAAGAACCCTTGTCTGATTGAAGTGAGTGTGAATGTTAAAATTTGCAATCTTGAGTAGCATTGAGTGGCCATGAAGCTTCAACGTCAATCAGTGAGGGTCTCTGCGTAGAGGTAGCAAGTGGAGTGCATATTTACCTGTGGAATAATGTCCAGAGTGGGAGGAAGACCCCTTGTCTGTTTGAAGAAAGTGTGGATGTTGCAGTTAGCAAACTTGAATAGCACTGAATAGCCGTGAAGCTACAAAGTCAATCAGTGAGGGTATCTACAAAGAGGTAGCCTGGCCTCTGTTGCCTGGAGGCACCCTCTGTGGAATGATGTCCAGGGTGGGAGAAAGAACCATTGTCTGATTGAAGCTGCAAGGCTACTCAATGCTATTCAAGCTTGCTAATTGCAACTTTCATACTTGCTTCAAACAGACAAGAGTTCTTTCTCTCACTCTGGACATCATTCCACAAGGGGAGATAGTCACACACAGATACACACATACCCTCACTGATTGGCTTTGCAGCTGCAAGGCTACTCAATACTATTCAAGCTTGCTAATTGCAACCTTCACACTTGCTTCAAACAGACAAGAATTCTTTCTCTCACTCTGGACATCATTCCACAAGGGGAGATAGTCACACACATACAGAGAGAGATACATACATACCCTCACTGATTGACTTTGCAGCTGCAAGGCTACTCAATGCTAATTCAAGCTTGCTAATTGCAACATTCACACACACACASAGAGAGAGATACACACACATACCCTCACTGATTGGCTTTGCAGCTGCAAGGCTACTCAATGCTATTCAAGCTTGCTAATTGCAACATTCACACTTGCTTCAAACAGACARGGAGTTCTTTCTCCCACCCTGGACATCATTCCACAASGGGAGATAGTCACACACACAGAGATATATACACACATACCCTCACTGATTGGCTTTGCAGCTGCAAGGCTACTCAATGCTATTCAAGCTTGCTAATTGCAACATTCACACTTGCTTCAAATAGACAAGAGTTCTTTCTTTCACTCTGGACATCATTCCACAAGGGGAGATAGTCACACASAGAGAGAGAGACACACACACACATACCCTCACTGATTGGCTTTGCAGCTGCAAGGCTACTCAATGCTATTCAAGCTTGCTGATTGCAACCTTCACACTTGCTATCTCCCACCCTGGACATCATTCCACAGGTATATACGCACCCCACTTGGCCTCACTAGCAACAGAACCTCTGAAAATGGCATTAGCCACAGATTCAGGTGAAACATCAGGAGAGAATGCTACTGGAACATGGCCATCCAGCCCGGAAAACTCACAGCAACCCAGATAAGACTCTTGTTATTGTCGAGATGGGAAATTTCTGAATAAACGTTTGTTCACTGATGGGTCTATGGACCGTAATAAATATTGTTGTTGTTGTTGATGTTGTTTTTGTTGTTGTTTGTTGATTAGGGCTCCCTGGAGGATCAAATCATCCAGGCCAACCCTGTGCTGGAAGCGTTTGGGAATGCCAAAACAACCAGGAACAACAATTCCTCTCGTTTTGTAAGTACCCAGCACTGAAATTATGGTGCATTTGAATCTGTTCAGTAAATTTATTTTATTTTTTAGTTATCCTATCAGGAGCAAACCAAGGGTATAGTTGTGATGTATTTAAGAAAAAGAAAAACACAGAATTTAAAAACTTGGCCATAGAATGAGTTTCTGGGTTTTAGCCTGCCACTTTTGGACTCTCGCTTGCTGAGGTGTGAATATCTCTGTAGGTCTCAGGAAACTGGTTCTTCATTTAAGGCATTGGCATGCTGGCTGATATCCGAAAAGAGGATGGGACGGAGATGTCACTGCTTTGGTCCTTTCATTACTGGTTGCTACTTCCTGGAGGATGTCAGGTGGTGCAATACCAGCTAAACAGTATAATTTATCCAATAGCGAGGGACGTAGGCATCCTGTGATAATTCGGCTTGTCTCATTAAGAGCCACATCCACTGTTTTAGCGTGGTGAGATGTGTTCCACACTGGGCACGCATACTCAGCAGCAGAGTAGCAAAGCACAAGGGCAGGTGTCTTAATTATGTCTGGTTGTGATCCCTAGGTTGTGCCAGTCAGCTTTCGTATGATATTGTTTCTAGAGCCCACTTTTAGCTTGATATTCAGTAAATATTCCAGGGAAGTCATGCTCCCCATGCTCTATTCTGCCTTGTTTCGACCACACCCACAATTGAAGGGTGGTTCGACCACACCCACAATTGACTCTAAGCTGGAATGTGTCCAGAGGAGGGTGACTCAAAGGATCAAGGGTCTGGAGAACAAGCCCTATGAGGAACAGCTTAAAGAGCTGGGCGTGTTTGGCCTGAAGAAGAGAAGGACGAGAGGAGACATGATGATAGCCATGTATAAATATATGAGGGGAAGTCATAGGGAGGAGAGAGCAAGCTTGTTTTCTGTTGCTCTGGAGCAGTGGTTCTCAACCTGGGGTCCCCAGATGTTTTTGGCCTACAACTCCCAGAAATCCCAACCAGTTTACCAGCTGTTAGGATTTCTGGGAGTTGAAGGCCAAAAACATCTGGGGACCCCAGGTTGAGAACCACTGCTCTGGAGACTAGGATGCGGAACAATGGCTTCAAACTATTCTTCTTTGGTGATTTCTCCCTTTTTCCACTTCTTGTGCATGTCTCTTTTTTAGTCTTAGCACAGTTAGATTTCTAAGGGATCTACGTCTTCAGTAAAGTATTATAATACCTGTGTGAATTTCCCACTGACATGCCCATCTCATCCAAAGGGATCATTCAGTTCTTATTTTGTCTGCTTTCAAAATATTGCAACCATGAGACTGGTGCGAACATCTTGCGGTCTTGATCCGAGGGGATTATTTCTCTTCCTTTTGCTTCCAGGGTAAATTCATCAGAATTCATTTCGGCAGCACAGGAAAACTGGCTGGAGCTGACATTGAGAGCTGTAAGTATCCCAGTTGAGTCAACTTCCCCATCGACCGGATGCGACCACACTGTGCAATTATGGCTGGTTGATATCGCTTTAATTGCTATACGTCCATCCTGTGGCATCTTAGAACTTGTAGTTTGGGGAGGCACTAAGGACCCTTCTACACTGCCATATACTCTGGATAATCCACATGATCTGCTTTGAACTGGATTATATGAGTCTACAATGTAGGATTTTGTACAGCTGTGTGGAAGGGCCCTCGGACTCTTTCCATGTCAGAGTGAAAATCGGGGGGCTATGCACAGCAGATGAGGTTACTAGATCACACAGACACAAATCAGGACACTGCAGTCTTCCAGTTTCAAAAATAACATAAAGTTTACTAAGTACATCTCAATACACGTCTACTTCTAAGCGGGCAAAATCAGGAACTACAAAGCACAGCATCAGTACAGTTTCAGAACATCTGCTTATCAGGCTCTCTGACTGTAAGCCGGATACTCCCTATTTCTTCCCAGCCAGAGAAACTCATTATCAAACTTCTGTCAAGGTCTCTTCTCTCTTTCTCTCTGTCTCTTACAACAACAATACCAATACATAATTGAACATAACAGAATCCATCTTGAATACGTATGGACACCATTCTTAATCATATAGAAACACATTGAAAAAACATACTTTCAATAATCCTGACACTCATGGGATTTGAAATTGTGTTCGGAGGAAAGCTTTGCAAAGCCCAAATGCTCTCCCCGACTTTGGGGTATTGTCTTGTGTTTTATGGAAATCTTTTGCGTTGCAGATCTCTTAGAGAAGTCTCGGGTCATTTCCCAGCAACCGGCCGAAAGAGGCTATCACATCTTCTACCAGCTCCTCTCCAACAAGAAGCCCGAACTTGTCGGTACGATCTGTTTATCTTAAGCGGCTGAGGGGGGAAAGGAAATGGCCTGAGATTGTTAGGAATGGTGGGAGTTGAAGTCCAAAACACCTGGAGGGCCCAAGTTGGCCCATGCTTGGTGTAGACGTATTATGAGTGAGGAAGGTTCAAGGGCAATTAAAGCATCCCGGACAGATGTTAGCTCTCACTTTCTAGGGCTTAAGCGGCTGATTGGGAAAAGGAAGGGGCCTGAGGCGGTTAGGAATTGTGGGAGTTGAAGTCCAAAATACATGAAGGGCCCATGCTTGGTGTAGACATAATATGAGGAAGGTTCAAGGCCAATTAAAGCATCCCGGACAGATGTTAGCTCTCACTTTCTAGGGCTTAAGCGGCTGAGTGGGAAAAGGAAAGGACCTGAGGCTGTTAGGAATGGTGGGAGTTGAAGTCCAAAACACCCAGAGGGTTCAAGTATTCCCATGCTTGGTGTACACATACTATGAGTGAGGGTTCAAGGCCAATTAAAGCATCCCGGACAGATGTTAGCTCTCACTTTCTAGGGCTTAAATGGCTGAGGGGGGAAAGGAAGGGGCCTGAGGCTGTTAGGAATGGTGGGAGTTGAAGTCCAAAACACATGAGGGGCCAAAGTTTGCCCTCCAGGCGAACTTTAATATTTTTTTAATTTCTTTTTCCATCCATCCATCAAAATCAAATCAAACGAACAGGGCTTTAAGATGTAAACATACAATTAGCTTCATCACCTGTGCTAGTTAATGTCAAAGTTTGGTTTGTGTAGATGCTGCAAAATGGAAAAATACCTTGTCATTGGTAGGATCAAAAGCAATGGCTATATCTTAAAGAGTTTGCTCTGGTTGGTTTATTAACGGATAGTTATTGTCATGACTCTCCGGGGACCAAGCCTTGATCTCCAAATTCTAATGCCATACGACCATCCCTCCATATCCGCGAGGTCTTCATCGATGTATTAAACGAACCATGACTTGAACATAAGCAAACTTTGATTTCGCCAAGCATCACATTGATGCCAAGGCAGACCTCATTTTCAGAATTTCATTGATTCTCAGGATCCTTCCAGCGTCTTTGCCATTTGATATAAGGGCTGCCAAAGGCCCAGCATAATGTATGCTTAGGGCACTTGGGGAACACGAAACATATGAGTAGGAAGGCAGCTCACAGAAGGCAAACAGTCTCTGTTTGATGGATTTAAGTGCCATGTTTGATAGAGTTAAGAGGCATCGCTCACCCTCAATTTAGCTTTGACATAAGAGCTGCGCTTTGAGTTAAGAGCTAGTGCGAGAGGAAGCGTGAGAGCCAAAATATTATGGAGCTTTAAGGCTTCAAGGGAGCAGCTGCCGTGCCTCTTGCTTTTGTCCACTTTGGGAGATTGCTGTCCGCTTTGCTCTTCTCCACTTTGAGGAACTTTGGGTTAGTTGGTTTTGTGTGGGTTTTATTCCCGGTATGTTTAGCTTTTTGAAGGGAAAGAGAGAGAGAGGGAGCAAGAGAGGGAGGGAGGCTGGAATGAGGTCAGGATGAGGAAGAAAAGGATGCTTCTGACTCTTCTTCGCTGCTTTGTGCTTCCTTGCTACAACTTTGTGCTTCTACCATTTTAAAGTTGATCTTTCTTTCTGTATTGTCCCCCTTGAATGTTTACTTATACCTTATTTCTTATTTAAAAAGTACACTTTCTTATTCAAAAACTCATAACAAAAAAGGGGGGGGAGTTTGGAGGCCCAAAATGGATTAATTTAATTTCAGTGGTAAATTTTGTTTAAGAGCGATTTGAGTTAAGAGCTCGGTCACGAAACGAATTAAACTCTTAACTCGAGGTATTAGTGTATTTAATTTTAGCCTATAGGTGTAACAAAAAGGGGGGGCTTGGGGCCCCAAAATGGATTAATTTAATTTCTGTGGGAAATTTTGTATAAGAGTGATTTGAGTTAAGAGCTCAGTCACGAAACGAATTAAACTCTTAACTCGAGGTATTAGTGTATTTAATTTTAGCCTACCATTCTAGTAGTGAGATCCGTCTTCCACCCCCTTCATCTGTGGCTCAAGTGGGAACCCATTTGCTCCTGTAAACACTTCAACAACTTACACATTTGTTACTCCAACAGAGAACTTGCTTTGTGTGCCGGATCCAAAGGAATACCACTGGACAAGCCAAGGGGTGGTTGTGGTTGACAACATGGATGACGGAGAAGAATTGCTCCTCACCGATGTAAGTTTGCAAGGACAGAAGAGTGTGTGTGTCTGCGTATCCAGTGTGTTTGGTATAGACCAGTGGTTCTCAACCTGTGGGTCCCCAGATATTTTGGCCTACAACTCCCAGAAATCCCAGCCAGTTGACCAGCTGTTAGGATTTCTGGGAGTTGAAGGCCAAAAACATCTGGGGACCCCAGGTTAAGAACCACTGGTATAGACATATATTCACTGTTTTGACCGTGCTAGGGACCTCCACCCAAAGGCTGAATTCAGTTTGAGAGTTCTTCTTGGGAAGTAGTACTCCAGAAAAAGTAACTTCCCCATGTTCTGATTATGCTGTGTACTGTTGGGCAACCGTCATTCCATGAGGGTTCTGGTGACACCGCAGATATGGAGACCTGGGTCTGTTTGGGAAGGTCAGACCATAAATGATTCCCTTCCATCCATCTCCTTCCAGGTTGCCTTTGACGTCCTGGGCTTCACTCAAGAAGAGAAGGTCAGCGTCTACAAGCTCACCGGTGGCATCATGCATTTCGGCAATATGAAATTCAAGCAGAAGCCAAGAGAGGAACAGGCAGAAGTCGACACCACCGAAGGTAATGACCAAGACGGAGAGGGTGGAGACCTAGAACTTTATACCATGAGGTGGAGAAAGTCGAATCATGGCAAACAACTTTGGGTCTTGGCTTGTTTGACCCATCAATGCACTCGTTGCACTCAGATTGTGCTTGGATTCTGACTTTTCATTGATGGGGAATAATATGTCAAGGATCCAATATTGTTATTTTTCTGCCCTTATTTCTTGTGTGATAGTTTTCTTATTATTTTACTCTATTTATTGTTATTATTACATTTAGTATTTATTGTACTGCGACATAAAAAAATCTATTATTACTATTATTATTACATTTATTATTTTACTCTATTTATTATTGTTATTATTACATTTATTATTTTACTTTATTATTATTATTACATTTATTATTTTACTCTATTATTGTTATGATTACATTTAGTATTTTATGATATTATTACTATTATTATTACATTTATTATTTTACTCTATTTTATTGTTATTATTATATTTATTATTTTACTTTATTATTATTATTACATTTATTATTTTACTCTATTTATTGTTATTACATTTATTATTTTACAATATTATTACTATAATTACATTTCCATTATTGTACTACGACATGAACAACACATCTATTATTATCATTATTACATTTATTATTTTACTTTATTATTATTACATTTATTATTTTACTCTATTTATTGTTATTACATTTAGTATTTTATTATATTATTACTGTTATTATTACATTTCCGTTATTGTACTGCGACATGAACAACACATCTATTATTATCATTATTACATTTATTATTTTACTCTATTTATTATTGTTATTATTACATTTATTATTTTACTTTATTATTATTATTACATTTATTATTTTACTCTATTATTGTTATGATTACATTTAGTATTTTATGATATTATTACTATTATTATTACATTTATTATTTTACTCTATTTAATATTGTTATTATTATATTTATTATTTTACTTTATTATTATTATTACATTTATTATTTTACTATTATTATCATTATTACATTTATTATTTTACTTTATTATTATTATTACATTTATTATTTTACTCTATTTATTGTTATTATTACATTTAGTATTTTATGATATTATTACTGTTATTATTACATTTCCGTTATTGTACTGCGACATAAAAAAAATCTATTATTACTATTATTATTACATTTATTATTTTACTCTATTTATTATTGTTATTATTACATTTATTATTTTACTTTATTATTATTATTACATTTATTATTTTACTCTATTATTGTTATGATTACATTTAGTATTTTATGATATTATTACTATTATTATTACATTTATTATTTTACTCTATTTAATATTGTTATTATTACATTTATTATTTTACAATATTATTACTATAATTACATTTCCATTATTGTACTACGACATGAACAACACATCTATTATTATCATTATTACATTTATTATTTTACTTTATTATTATTACATTTATTATTTTACTCTATTTATTGTTATTACGTTTAGTATTTTATTATATTATTACTGTTATTATTACATTTCCATTATTGTACTGCGACATAAAAAAATCTATTATTACTATTGTTATTACATTTATTATTTTACTCTATTTATTATTGTTATTATTACATTTATTATTTTACTCCATTTTTATTGTTATTATTACATTTATTATTTTACGATATTATTACTATTACATTTCCATTATTGTACTGTGACATGAACAAAACATTTATTATTATTATTATTATTACATTTATTATTTTACTTTATTATTATTATTACATTTATTATTTTACTTTATTTATTGTTATTATTACATTTATTATTTTATGATATTATTACTGTTATTATTACATTTCCATTATCGTACTCTTATGAAAGAAACATCTATTATTACTATTATTATTACATTTATTATTGTACTTTATTATTGTTATTACATTTATTATTTTACTCTATTTATTATTGTTATGATTACATTTATTATTTTACTCTATTATTTATTATTTTAGGATATTATTACTGTTATTATTACATTTCCATTATTGTATTATTATTACATTTATTATTTTAACTCTCTATTATTATTGGAAGGACACATAAACACATAAGCACATTTACATTGAAGAAGGTTAGAATAATGGCTTAATCAGAGTTGGGACAGGCTTATCTTAAATTACAGTTTTATGTAAATATTCAAAAACATTTAACCTCCTGATGCCTCAATTAATGTAATTTTATTGGTATCTATTTTTATTTTGAAATTGACTCATAGCTGCTGCATTTCCCACCCTCGGCTTACTATAATAATAATAATAATAATAATAATAATTATAATTATTATTATTATTATTATTATTATTATTATTATTATTATTATTTACTGTATGTGCCGTCGCACCTGGGAGCTATAACTCTTAGTGAAAGATGCATGGACGTGACATCTTTCCCACAGGGGATTGCTTCTTGCCCTCCTTTAGAAAAACTGGAGCTTCCAAGGACCAAAACACTGTAGATAACTCAAAATAGGTTTTATTGCCCACAAAGAGTTATCCCTTTAAGGCAATAAGCTGGAAGTTTCAAAGGGGTGAAGGAAAATGTACATTACAGTCTCTGGTTGTCTTGGGTCCAAGGAGTTTTGCAGCTGAGAAGCTTTTCCAGGTCCCTCTTTCTCAATGGCTGTGAATATCAGAATAATCACAACCCCAATTCCAATGGCCTATATTTTGAAGGCACAAAGCCTTCCTCTGGTGCCAAAGAACTGGTTTGAAGGCGCTTGAGACTTCTCAACGTCGTCCAGGTTGATCTGAACATGAAGCATAAGTCTCAAGGGTAAGAACCTCAGAATTGGTGCTGAGAGGTAACTTAATCAAGGGCTTCAGAGCCAAGTCTCTCTCTCACGTCCATCTGATAGAAAGTTTGATGGTGGAATGGAAAAGGAAACACTGTCCTGCTCTCTAGGAAGAGGTGGGGTCAAACAATTGAGCAGGAGGAGCAATTCAACTGGTGCAAACAACATTGATTGACAGCTATAAATAACCAATCAATCCAACTATACATTTACAGGGTAAAAAGGCAAAATCAGGCATGATACAACAGTTCAAACCCTGCAACTTACAGTTCTACATATAGGCTATACCGCCATTCTCAGCCCGGGGGCGACTCATGGCGGTTTACAGAACGGCACAATTTGATGCCCCTAACAATATAAAAATAGCTAAAACATTTAAACATAGATAAAAATTCACTACATTATATCAATAAAAATTGTTTTCCCAGTTTTTTGTGGTAAAATTAGGTACCTCAGCTTATATTTGGTTTGGTTTATACTCGAGTATATACGGTACTTCTTTCTCTGAAAATGCCTGGTGTATTCTGTCCCACTGGAAACAGATTAAGGAACATTTTTAAGGTTCAAAAAGTATTAATGACAAGAACCTGTAAATCAGATTTGCAAAAGAATTGAAGAATTGAAGTGCATTTGGGTTTCTGTCTCTTTGACCTTCTCCTTCTCGTTCTTCTGGTCGTCAGTGGCTGACAAAGTCGCCCACCTCATGAGCCTCAACTCCGGGGAACTCCAGAAGGGCATCACCAGGCCCCGGGTGAAAGTGGGCAACGAGTTCGTCCAGAAAGGGCAGAACATGGACCAGTGCCACAACTCAGTGGGCGCCCTGGGCAAAGCCATCTACGACAAGATGTTCAAGTGGCTGGTGGTCCGCATCAACAAGACCCTGGACACCAAGATGCAGAGGCAGTTCTTCATCGGGGTGCTGGATATCGCCGGCTTTGAGATCTTTGAGGTACGGATGGGCTGGTGGGCCTCCACTTGGAGCCAGTTCCCCCTCCTGGGAGCCACAACCAGGAAGGCTCTCTCTTGGTGATGGCACTACGTCCAAGAGAAAGCCTTGACTGAATTCCCTGAACTTCCTTCTACCCAATCAATAGTTTTCATTGTCGATGGACTTCATCTCACGGGATAAGAAAAGTGTTTGGGACGGTTTTCCCTTAAGCTTCGCAATGCCTTGTTTGGCTTAGGAATTTTTGGGAAAACTATTTTATTTATTTACTAGATGTACCCGCCACGCATTGCTGTGGCCAACCTTCCTTCCTTCATTCTCTCCTTCTTTCCCTCCTTCCTTCACTCCCTCCTTCCTTCCTCTCCTTTTTTTCTTTCCTTCTCTCCTTCCTTCCTTCTCTACTTCTTTCTTTCCTTCTTCCATTTTTTTCTTTTCCTTCCTCTTTCTCTCCATTCTTCCTTCTCTATCTTTCTTTCCTTCCTTCGCTTTTTGCTTCCATCCTTCCGTCTTTCCTTCCCCCTCTTTCTCTCCTTTCTTCCTTCTCTACCTCTTTCCTTCCTTCCTTCGCTTTTTGCTTTCATTCCTTCTTCCTTCCCTTCCTCACTTCTTTCCCTCCCTTCCTCAATTTTTCCCTTCTTCCTTCCTTCCCTCCCTCCTTAACTTCTTTCCTACTTTCTTTCCTTCTTCTCTTTCCTTTCCTTCTTCCTGCCTTCTTATTTCTTGTATTCTTCCTTCCTTCTTTCTTTATCTTTCCTTCTTTCTTGTTTCCTTCCCTTCCTTCTCTACTTTCTTGTTTCCTTCCTTCTTTCTTTCCTTCTCTTCCTTTTTTCCTTTCTTTTTGTTTCCTTCCTTCTCTCTTTCCTTTCTTCCTTCTCTTCTTTCCTTCCTTCCTTCACTTTTTACTTCCATCCTTCTTCTTTCCTTCTCCCATTTTTTCTTTTTCTTCCCTCTTTCTTTCCATTCTTCCTTCTCTAGCTTTCTTTCCTTCCTTTGCTTTTTGCTTCCACCCTTCTTTCTTTCCTTCTTTCCTTCCCTCCTCTTTTTCTCCTTCTTTCCCTCCTTCCTTTGCTCCCTCTTTCCTTCCTTCCCTTTTGTTCTTTCCTTCCTTCTCTACCTCTTTCTTCCCTTTCCCCCTTTTCTTTTCCTTCCGCTTTCTCTCCTTCCTTCCTTCTCCACCTCTTTCTTTCCTTCTCCCATTTTTTTTCTTTTCCTTCCCTCTTTTCTCCATTTTTCCTTCTCTAGCTTTCTTTCTTTCCTTCGCTTTTTGCTTCCACTCTTTTGTCTTTCCTTCTTTCGTCCTCTCTCTCTCTCCATTCTTCCTTCTTTCTTTCTTTCTTTCCTTCCTTTGCGTTTTGCTTCCATCCTTCCTTCTCTTTCCTTCCTATCTCTTTCTCTCCTTTCTTCCTTCTCTATCTCTTTCCTTCCTTCCTTCGCTTTTTGCTTCGACCTTTCCATCTCTCTTTCCTTCCCTCCCTCTTTCTCTCCTTCTTTCCCTCCTTCCTTCACTCCCTCTTTTCTTTCTTCCCTTTTTCTTTCTTTCTCTCCTTCCTTCCCCCTTTTTCTTTTCCTTCCTTTTTCTCTCCTTCCTCTCTTCTCTGCCCTCTTTCCTTTCCTTCCTCCTTTTTCTTTTCCTTCCTCTTTCTCTCCTTTCTTCCTTCTCTACCTCTTTCCTTCCTTTGCTTTTTGCTTCCATCCTTCCTTCTCTCTTTCCTTCTTTCCTTCCCTCCCTCTTTCTCTCCTTCTTTCCCTCCTTCCTTCCCTCCCTCTTCTTTCCTTCCTTCCATTTTGTTCTTTCTTTCCTTCCTTCCTTCTCTACCTCTTTCTTCCCTTCCCCCCTTTTCTTTTCCTTCCCCTTTCTCTCCTTTCTTCCTTCTTTACCTCTTTGCTTCCATGCTTCCTTCTCTCTTTCCTTCTTTCTTTCCCTCCTTCTTTCTCTCCTTCCTTCCTTTTTTATTTCTTTCTCCCCTTCCTTCCCTCTCTCTTCCATTTTTTCTGTATTGTCATTTAGCTTTTTTGAGTTTTTAAGTCCTTTCTACTGTTTTGTTTTTTGGGGGTGGTGGTTATGAATGATGGTCACTCGTTGGTCTGTTAGGGGTGTAGTGTCCAAATTTGGTGTCAATTCATCCAGTGGTTTTTGAGTTCTGTTAATCCCACAAACGAACATTACATTTTTATTTATATAGATTTACAGTATTTATATTCCGCCCTTCTCACCCCGCAGGGGACTCAGTGCGGATTACAATGTACATATACATGGCAAACATTCAATGCCACAGACACACAACATATATAGACAGACAGCACAGAGGCTATTTAACATTCCAGCTTCATGAGGTATTCTGGCCACCAGGGGAGCTGTTGCTTCACTGTCCATTTGTGACACTCATTGAGTACTTGCTCATTATGCCATCGCACCTGGGGGCTATAACTCTTAGTGAAAGAGACATAGATGTGACATCTTTTCCCCAGGGGATTGCTTCTTGCCTTCCTTTAAAGAACTGGAACTCCCAAGGACCAAAACACTGTAGATAACTCAAAATAGGTTTTATTGCCCACAAAGAGTTGTCCCTTTAAGGCAATAAGCTGGAAGTTTCAAAGGGGTAAAGGAAATATACATTAGAGTCTCTGGTTGTCTTGCGTCCAAGGAGATTTCGCAGCTGAGAAGCTTTTCAAGGCTCCCTCTTTCTCAATGGCTACAAATATCTGAACATTCACAGCCCCAATCCAAATGGCCTATATTTGAAGACACGAAGCCTTCCTCTGGTACCACAGGACTGGTTTGAAGGCACTTGGGTCTCCTCAACGTTGTCCAGGGCGATCTGGGCATGAAGTATGAGTCCCAAGGGTAAAAACCTTAGAATTGGTGATGAGAGGTAACTTAATTAAGGGCTTTAGAGCCAAGTCTCTTTCTCACGTCCATCTGATAGAAAGTTTGATGGTAGAATGGAAAAGGAAAAGCTCTGCCCTCCTCCAGGAAGAGGTGGAACCAAGCAATTGAGCTGAGGAAGCACTATAACTGGTGCAAACAACATTGATTGACAGCTATAAATAACCAATCAATCCAACTATACATTTACAAACTAGGCAAGTTTGGGCATGTTATACAGTTTAAACCTTTTGCACTTTAAAGTTCTACACACAGGTGGCGCCACTCGCGCCATCACACTCATTCTTTTGCATGCTTGCTGGAGATTTTATGGCATCGTAATTACTTAAATTAGCCTCCTTGCATAAGTGGTACCTAAATTTCCTACTTGACAGATACGACAGTCTTTCGGGCTGCAGAGGTCGACCGCAAGCTACACAATGGTCAGAAACTCACTCTGACCTGAGCTGGCTTCGAACTCATGACCTTTAGAAACGGCAAAACATTTCAACCCCATGGTTGAAGCTTGTATCGTATGAAGGGCATTGTGGGTTGCCGTTTCTGAAATGTGTAGAAATGCTGGCTTTACTGCGTGGGATGAAGTCCTAAATGTCTTTATCACGGCTCAAAGCAGTGTCTCTTCTGTTCCTTCTGCAGTTCAACAGCTTTGAGCAGCTGTGCATCAACTTCACCAACGAGAAGCTGCAGCAGTTCTTCAACCACCACATGTTTGTCCTGGAGCAAGAGGAGTATAAGAGAGAAGGGATCGATTGGGTGTTCATTGACTTTGGCCTGGATCTGCAGGCTTGCATTGAGCTCCTGGAAAAGGTGACCGTCATCATCATCATCAATCACTACCATCACCATTTTGTTTGATTTATAGCCCATTCCTCCAATTTGTGCCAACACATATTGGTCCTCCTGTTTGTTTACATCCTCACCACATCTCTGTCAGAGAGACACAGATTAGCCCAGGGACATCTAGTTGGCTTCAAGGCTGAGTAGTGGTGTGAACTCAAGACACAGGTCCATGTTGTCTCTCTACGTGACCTATAGATAGAACGATGCAGTAGTTTATTTATGTATTTATTGGTCCTCCTCTTTGTTTACATCCTCACCTCTCTGTCAGAGAGATACAGATTAGCCCAAGTACAGCTTCAAGGCTGAATAGTGGTGTGAACTCAAGACACAGGTCCATGTTGTCTCTCTACGTGACCTATAGATTGAACGATGTAGTAGTGTGTTTGTTTGTTTATCTACTGTATTTGTACACCGCCTTTCTCAGCCTATTGGCGACTCAAGGCGGTTTCCAACAAAACAGTATACATAATGGGTTGTTGTAGGTTTTTTTGGGCTATATGGCCATGGTCTAGAGGCATTCTCTCCTGACCTTTCGCCTGCATCTATGGCACTACCTCTGAGGATGCTTGCCATAGATGCAGGCGAAACGTCAGGAGAGAATGCCTCTAGACCATGGCCATATAGCCCGAAAAAACCTACAACAACCCAGTGATTCCAACCACGAAAGCCTTCGAAAATACAGTATACATATTACCATAATGCAGATTAAAACATTAAAACATGACAGTATAAAACACAACAAAGGCAACAAAAAACAACATAATTAGTGTCTCCTTATTATCAAGCATTGTCCAGTTCCATCGTCAAGTCGTTAGATTTCCTATATCAATTACTCTGCATTTGTAAACGCTTGCTCAAATAGCCATGTTTTAACTTGCCTCCGAAACGTTAAGATGGAGGGAGCAGATCTAATCTCCCTAGGGAGGGTGTTCCATAGCTGAGGGGCCACCGCTGAGAAGGCCCTGTCTCTCGTCCCCACCAATGCAGGAGCAGCAGGACAGAGAGCAGGACCTCCCCAGATGATCTTTGAGCTTTGGAGGCCTGCTGCTAAGTCACACACTTGTAGCCCCAGAAACCCCCCTGATAGGTTCACCACAGATTCACCATCAGTTGGAAATGATTCAAAGGCACACAACGACAATAAAAGGCTCAAACTCAGCCCTCCTGAATCAAACTCAGACCCCCCCAATCAAACTCAGCCCCCCCGAATCAAACTCAGCCCCCCCCAAATCAAACTCAGCCCCCCCGAATCAAACCCCCCGAATCAAACTCAGCCCCCCCAATCAAACTCAGCCCCCCCCGAATCAAACTCAGCCCCCGAATCAAGCTCAGCCCCCCCGAATCAAACTCAGCCCCCCGAATCAAACTCAGCCCCCCAAATCAAACTCAGCCCCCGAATCAAGCTCAGCCCCCCCGAATCAAACTCAGCCCCCCGAATCAAACTCAGCCCCCCAAATCAAACTCAGCCCCCCCTGAATCAAACTCAGCCCCCCAGAATCAAACTCAGCCCCCCGAATCAAACTCAGCCCCCCCGAATCAAACTCAGCCCCCCCGAGTCAAACTCAGCCCCCCCAGATTCAAACTCAGCCCCCGAATCAAACTCAGCCCCCCCGAATCAAACTCAGCCCCCCGATCAAACTCAGCCCCCCAAATCAAACTCCCCCTCTCAAACTCAGCCCCCCCAAATCAAACTCAGCCCTCCCTGAATCAAACTCAGCCTCCCTAAATCAAACTCAGCCCCCCGAAAAACTCAGCCCCCAATCAAACTCAGTCCCCCCGAATCAAACTCAGCCCCCCCGAATCAAACTCATCCCCCCCC